AATCATTGATTCTGGCAATACTGTTCACACAAGACTTTTCTGAAGAGAATTCTCCAACTGTATAATCTTATTACCAAACTGTTATTGGAATTTTACTATGGTTGAAGCAGAAATAAACAATATGGACATATAACTATAGGACCTAGAGAAGAAGTTATTGAAAAAATATTTCTTTTTTCATTCAAATGTCTTTGGAATTATAATGAAAGTTTTTAAGCAGCTGGAATAAATGATGCGTTTAACCAATCTCTTTAAAATAAAGTTGTTAAAAGCTACACCGAAAGGATAAAATCTGTTTGAGATTGAATAACTTAAATGTGTAAGTTGACGACAGCTAACTGCATAAATGTTGAGAGTCAACAGATTTGATAAATCCAGCTGACTAGTCTGTCGGGATGTAAAGAATTCAAAGGTAGCCTTCATAATTCATTGAATTCAGCTGGAGAACTATTGAAAATCAAAGGATGTTGAACAACTGTAACTATTCAGCAGAGCATTTAGAATTAAGCTCTGTTGAAAACTGTCTAGGTTAAATAAAAGGGAAATCCCTTGCTAGTCGGTATTCATTTGTTCTGTAGTTGATACCATTTGTTGGTGAAAACCACCTTCAAACTAGTCATTTTTCTAAAAGTCTAGGTGGATAGTTATTACTAAACCATGAGTATACTAAAGTTGGGATAAGTGAAGCATTAACTATAAACCTACTGACAAAACAGTAATGAGCGCAGCATGGGTTCTGAACGTCCTGAACCCTATCATGTGTAATTTATTTGAACATTTCTGAAAAGTATCAAGTTATATCGAAGTAAATCTTTTTTTGTTCCTATTTCAATGATTATTTAGCTGAAATCTATTTAAGAGGAAAATTCTATTTCATGCATTTAGAGATAAATTTGGATAAAAAAAATAAGGAGGATAAAATTTGGAAAATAAAATGATGATATTGCAGGGGACTGGATGTGTTAGTATTGCATAACGCTTAACCAACCCTAATTAACTCGATATGCTGTAATACCTGTTTAATCAGTACCTTACCTAAGTGTAAGTGTAAGTACTGATAACGAAGCACAAATCAGAAAGACTACTATTCAGGAATATATTCAAAAGAGCAATATATTTAAATAGAATAAATATAAGTGATTATTAGGGAAAAGTCTATCCAACTTATCTGGCTAATATGGCTGAGCTAGGCATTTTGAGGATATTCATGTTAACCAGAACAAAAAAGGTGCGAAATGGCGTCGAAGTTCGCTTAGATGCATACTCATTAAAACACCTTAAGCATCCAGAGGTGAGGTAGAAGTTTTTTAATTAATATTTAGTTAATTAGGTTTTATCCATTTATTTTGGCCATAGTCGCATTTCTGTGTCAGGAAGGTGCACTACAATATCATTTTATTTCATGAATACTCTTCAGCTGTATACAGTATTAAAATACAATTAAATTAGGAAATCATTATTCTTAAGTTGTACAACAAAAACATTGCTAATCCTTGTAACATGTAAAAGAATTAATTTTACAAAGATAAGAAGTGCAAGAAAGGAGAAATAACAATAGATAATTAAATAAAGAGTTATGTCATGAAAATGAACATAAAACAGAATTAAATCATATTCACCAAGGTAGTGAGAGACTAAGCACTTTTTTCTTTTTTATGCAAAGGTCAGGTTGAAAGCGCTTTATAACAGTCACTTCCATAAAACGCAGTAGTCCAAACATTCTGTGTACCTTAATTATTTTAAAAGTACTCAAGGTTTCAGTCTGATGTTCTGTGTCTACTAGGTGCCTGGTGATTGAACTAGTTCGAATTCTGCTTCCTTTCAAGAACAGATTCTTGAGGATATGCTCAGAGAACCAAATGGAGGCCCTCTTCTCAGTCCTTGCAATGTACTTGCTACCGTAAGTTAATTTTTACTCATAAATACAGTTGGAGGTGACATGAGCAAGATGATTATCCAATGTTGACTGGTTTAGTGAGCATATGGTATTGTATATTAATAAAAGTCTAGCTGCAGGAAAGCTCCTTCTCAATGGTTCGTGGATTCTTGTGCCGATTTGCTTGGATACTTCATCTCCTTTGAATTTAAGGTATGCAAAGATCTTCTTCTTTTCCACAATTGGGTGCTTGTTTTTCTCAATGTGCTTTTCTTTATACTTCCTAATAAATCTCTTTGGATGTCCATGTCGAAAATACTATTTCTAACTTGTTTGCAGAACATAATTTCCTAGCTCTGTTGTAAAGTATTTGACAAGCGCACGCTTGTGCTAGCAAGATAGAAGCTGTTATAGTTGATGTGTGTCCAGTCCATGTGTTGTTACCATGCATGGTCCTTTCAATTTTACCATCAATTCTTCCCAAGTTGAGGTTCAAAAAATGAATTCTTTTTCATGCTCATTATTATTATTGATTACTTTTCCCTTGGGTTCCTAGTGGAATATAGGGCTTCAGTAGCACATCTCCATTGCACTCTTCTCTGCAATCATTGAACCTGGCTCCACGATTGCCCACAAGCTCCCATTTCTTCCTCACATGATCTCCTCTACGTCATCCTCTCCTCAGATGCCCAACTCGCCGTTTCTCCCTTGGATTCCACTGGAGTGCCTGGCCAGGCACGTGATGTCCCCGAATGGTCCTCTCAGTGCATGCCCAATACATCTTCACTTTATTCTACTCTATATTTGGTGGATGATAGGTTCTTGGTTGGTTCCCAGAGTTCCTTGTTGCTTATTCTTATCATTCTGGCCATCTGATCTTCGATGTCAGTATCGAGTGAGCGTAGGCGGCAGCTGTTGATGAATGTCTGTAGTTTGTTAGGAATGCATTTCGTAACGCGCCAAGTCTCTCAACCATCACATTGAAGCACTACCTTACTTGACTGACATTAATGTTGAAAATCCGGACCTTGTTCACGCCTCATGCTGAGTGCAGTAGGCAGTAGATCTCCACACTGATTTCAGATTAGTGAAGGTCTGCCTTGCTTGCTTTTCCGATCCTGGCTTTGATATCCTCATCTGTGCCTGTGCGCCTGTAGTTGAAACGATTCTGCCTTGCCTAGGTAGTGAAAGAGATTACTTCCTTTAGGTTTCCCCCTTATGATGGTGATTGGAGCCTGTTGTTGATGCTGTTGTTGGTTGAGTATCTCTATCACCTCCGTCTTTGCCACATTCACTTGAGGTTCTGTTTTCGCTGCCTCACATCTTCTGTCAACTTGTTAGTTTTTGCCTGTAGATCTTTGAGTTTGTGCGACATTAAACATAAATCATCGTCGGCAAAATCCAAATCTTCTTCTGGGGTCTTTTCATGGGTCCAACCAGCCAATGTCCATCTTCTCGCTCCTCACTGCTCGCCGCATGACCCAATCCGCCACAATCAGGAAGATCATGTGGGATAGTAGACAGCCTTGTTTACTCCTGTCTTTACTTCAAAGGCGTCACTCAGCTTTCCATTGAGGACCGCTTGGTATGTGGCGTTTTCATATAGTTGTTGAATGAGGTTGAGAAAGATTTGTGGCACTTCGTAGTGTTGAAGTAACTGCCAAATTACTTCTTTTTAATGCTCATATTCCATCATAAGTTTAATTTTAGGAATAGCCTTGTTGAGCTTGTCAAATGACTCACATGTTTCATATCTTTACAAACAACAAAGGTGTCGTCAACTTACTAGTGGTAATAGGTTGTTCCTTTGATGACTGAACTTAGGCGCATCTGTTTGAGAAAATATCTGTTAGGACAGGTTCATGAAGTGCACCCATTCCCACCTCACCAATCTGTTTATAAAATCAGATACTGAATTGAGACTGGACACTTTTACAATGACATAACTCCTTATTTGTTATTATTACTTTTCCTTTCCTACATTTCTTGCTTCTTTTGTACACACAAATCAGGTCTTAGTTCATGAATAGCTAAAGTCTCCGTTGTTTCAAGGAGTGGAAAACGAAAAGAACGTGGGAGGTTTGGGCGAATTTGATAAATAATTTCAAAGTCATCGTATGGATTTGTTGTGTGATGGAAGTCAATCAAATGTTCTAGAATCGAACTTCTAACAGACTTTCTTTCACCTTTATAAAACCAAGCAGGAACATGTTCTCGTATACGTGTAGAAAGCATTCTTTGGCTACGGCCGAAGTATGTGCAGTCACTGTCTTTATCATGGCCATAACATTTCCCCACCCCATTAGCTCCCCCTCCCATTTTGTTAATTTAACCTTTGTATCCTTCCATTATCACTGTTATTGTTATTATAATCGCCTTCACTTTAACTAGTTTCCGGTGTTGTTTCACTTAATTGTCTTAATCCTTTTAGAAAACATTGACTTCATCTTGTCCAACTTGTCTAGTGCGATTACACAATACTTAATCGATTTACCATTTTCAACAATTCCTTCACTCCCTTCTAAGTTTCTATGAACCATTCCATATATTACATAATCTATTTGTTATCATTCGTACTTCAATTGTTATTATAATCACAAATGCCAATGTCATCATCCGCTCTATTATTATTGTCATCACCGCATAGTGTTTAGTTTTCCTCACGGGATATAATTTTTTCCAAATATATATACGGTTGTACAGCTTGGAAATAAATTCCTTGAAATGAGTCTCTTTGCTGAATATCTTGTTCTTGATGTTACAATGGGAATTATTACATTTTACATTTAGCTAAATTCTTATGTTCCATTAATCTAACTGACCCAGGCCTACTAGTCTGACTTATGTACTTGGCATCACAATGATTGAATGGAACTTGATAGGTTAGATTATTTTGCCCAATCGGATTGCAGAGTAAAACGAAGGATAGACGGTGGTTTCGATATTACCGTCTACAGGAAACCAACACATTCTAACAGGTATCTAGACTCCAGGTCATCTCCTTCAATCAATGTCAGGTGTAACAATATGGGATTCTTCACTTACCATTAATCTACAGTGAACTATCTATACACACTATATATACACTGATAGTAAATATACTGCAGAAAAATATATTTCTTACCCATAATTTTAGCTGTTTGGATAAATTCACCATCAGCTTGCTTTCGATTAAAATCTTCTGTACTGACAAAGTAATAATCTATACTGTCATACTCGGAATGATGGTTATCATGTTTGAAAAAAGATGATTTATCCAACTTTTGCCGTGGACTATTGTTCATATTGTTGTTATTATTGTTACTGCTGAACTGATCTGATGAAAGCATATCTTCGTTTATACTCTTTGAATTCAATACCAATCGTCTTTCTTTACATCTAGGAGGTCGAGTTGTATGACAAAGAAGAGGAGCAAAATAATTATCCAATTTCATGACTAACTGCTGTCTTAATTGACGTTTCTTGATACCAGTTGGACCAATGATAGCCAAGATTGGATAAGGCGTGTCTATATTTGGCAGAGTACTATAAAAACGAATATTTCTTTTGAGAAGAAGATTATGAGTAAATCTCTTAACAAAAATTAATCAATAATTTGAATATTCCCATTGTGATAATTAGAAGACAGAGTTTGAAGCCAATATGTACTTTCGGTAGATTCTCATCCGGCTTTACGTTTACATTTACAAATTCTTCAGCATAGTCCTCATTTGATACCAACATGGTTAAATTAATTTGGGTATTTGAATCAGAAGATATCAGTAAAGGTGATAATAACAAAAAGTTCCAGAAAGTTTATATATTCCAGTTTAACGAAGAAATTTACCTTCAGATAGAAGGTGTGGCAATGGTTTTATCATTAGGTCCTCTTCTAGGCGATATGTTTATAGCGAAATTCGAAAGTGGACCACTGCGTAGCACGATAGATAAACTATCCTTCTATTGTGGATACATGGATGACACTTTCATTTTGCACGAAAATGATACTAATCTTGACATTCTTCTCGGTACATTCAATGGTGCTCATCCAGAAACCAAGTTCACATTTGAAACAGAGAAAGACGGATGTCTGCCATTTCTAGATGTTTTGCTATCAAGACGAACGGATGGCAGTGTCGGATGCAATATTTATCATAAGAAATCATGGGTTAGTCAGTATACACACTTCCGATCATTTGTCCCTCTTACGTACAAAAGTAAATTAAACCGGACACTGAGATTTTGAGCCAGTAAGATTTGCACGGCTGATACTTTGAACAATTAATTGAGAATAATACAGAACTACTTATATGACAACGACTATCCTGAAAAGTTCGTAAAGACCATAACAATGAAAACAGCTGGAGAAAGGCACCTTTAAATGGTGCCGAAGAAACGATTGCATCTAACCTTAGGGTTCAAAGGACATGCAGCTGCAGAAACACTGACACAGAAACTCAGAAATCGGATACAAAAACCTTCTTTGCCACCACACTATGTTTGAAATTTACTACTCGCTGTGTGATGCAAATGCAGTTGAAGGATAGGCTTCCGAATCTGTCCACATCTGTGTGCATCTATAAATTTAACTACTTCTATGGAGATAGTTACATGGGCAGAACGACTTGGCAAGCCCATCATCGCTTCATTGAGCACCGTCTAGCGTGACTAGACAACTGAACAGTGAAATCCATCGAAAGCTCAATACTCCCCCATCTCGTATATACTGAGCATTAGACTGACAAAACTTCACCATTTACTATTACTTACGAAGTCTCATTACAACACTTCAAGTTTCTGCACCTCCGATTGCTAAGCATAGCAGAAGCCATAGCAATTAAAATTTTCATATCTAATTTATGCATTCAGAAAATATTGGTTCGTCCCCTTTCCCTACCATGACCTTCAACTTCAAACCAGGTATAATTACAATAAATTCCTTCCCGGTCACCCGGATAAATGTAAACATTATCTCTGTTTGTACTCTTATCATTATCATTTTATTTTTCCCTCTTAATTTCATAATTAATTAAGAATTTTAACATTTTATTATCTATTATTATCTATCTATCTATCTATCTATTATCTGCTGGTGGGGTCGTGGGTGCGCACTGCTGAGGAGTCCCATACTAGGACGAAACAGCTGTCCAGTGCTCCCAGGTTTCCTTTGTTCCTCCAACTGATGTCAGTCTTCGATGAATAACAGCTTGAAATAATTCCAAATCTCCACAACCCCTCAAAATTTATCTATTATCTATTATTATCATTATCTAATCGCTATGCGACAATAATTTTATTTCTATCTATCCCTGCACACACACACACACACACACACACACACCTACAAGGATTGACTACTGAGAATATAGAAACTTCGCGATTTTGTTTTGTTATCATCATCATCATCATCTAATTTATATATCCGAATTAATTTAACCATGTTGGTATCAAATGATGACTATGGTGAATAATTTGTAAATGCAAATTTAAAGCCTGATGAGAATCTGCTGAAAATACATATTCGCCTCAAACTCTGTCTTCTAAAAATGAATCATCTCTACTCATCATTAGATAAGCTAAGCAAAGTGCAAATAAATGTGAGTGTAAAACTTGGGCACTGTGGTCGAGTGTAATTCCATTTTAGTATGTTTATTAGAAATATCACACAGTGAAACAGTAGCACTTACTGGATAATGTTTCAGACATAATTTATTGTCCATACTCATATCAGGTAACTCCACAACTTCTAGACAGCCTTTATATATTCCTAGTTTTCTCTCCTTCTCTGTGATGACAAGGGTAGTAGAATGGATTTCAACCCAACGGTTATTTGATCACATTATCACCCCACTAAATCTGATTGGTTATCTACACTATTTAATGTGACGTCTCGGTGTTAAATTCGGTCGAAGAAGCTGCTCTTAGTCAGTTATTTTTTAGTCATAGAGAAAAAAGAAATAATTCAGTGAGGAAAATCTTCTTTTCGATGGTATCATTTTCTAAAGCTATACAATCGTATATAAATATATCATAAACATATTGCTATATTATTGTTTGTTCTTTGGGTTCCTAGTGGAACATAGGGCTTCGGCAGCACGCCTCCATTGCACTCTCTTCTCTACAGTCTTCTCAACCTGGCGACACGACTGCCCACAAGCTTTCATTTCTTCCTCATATGATCTCCTCCCTGTCACCCTCGCCTTGGACGCCTAACTCGTCGTTTCCCCTTTCGATTCCACTCGAGGGCCTGGCCTGGTGCGTGATGTCTCTGAATGGTCTTCTCAGTGCATGCCCAATCTATCTCCACTTTCTTCTGTATATTTGTTGGGCGATAAGTTTTTAGTTAGTTCGTTGCAAGGCCACAATGAGTTCCTTATTACTTATTCTTTAGGGCCATCTGATCTGCAGTGTCGTGCTAGCGTAGGCAGCAGCTGTTGATGAATGTCTGTAGTTTGTTAGGAATGCATTTCGTAACGCGCCAAGTCTCTCAACCATCACATTGAAGCACTACCTTACTTGACTGACATTAATGTTGAAAATCTGGATCTTGTTCACGCTTTATGCTGAGTGCAGTAAATCTCCACACTGAATTCAGACATCATCAACACGTAACAGTCTATAATTTGACTATCTGTGATAGCAGTAGTACCAACTGAGCTACGAGGCGTGACTAATGATCAGATTTTCATTTTACTTCAATCACCAAGGGTTTCGCTGAACTACCGTGTGAATTCATGACGCGTTACTACCGTCCGATCGTATTCACACTAATTGCCTAGTCGGGACTTCTCAACCCAATCCAAATCTAACTGAATCGAAGAGGGGGAGCATAATATTGAGTATAATTTGGGACTTTGTAGCTCAGTTGGTAAAGTACCAGGCTGTTAACCCGATGGCCGCTGGTTCGAGTCCGATAGCTGTCCAAATTTTCATCTCACCTTCAATTATCACGCAGTATATAATAGTCTATTGTTGGATGGTACTCACTCCGTATTCTGTTTCAATTCCAAATTTTTCTCATAAATTTGGAAGGGTAACCATTTTGCATGCAAATCTTCCGTAGTTTGTCTAATTCATCGTCGTAGCTGGAAGCTGATGATGGACTCATTCTTCATTTCCTTCAGAACTTGAGTGGGCTTTCTTTCAATTTGCTTAATGGCGACTACTTCCTGTTCTTGATTTCGTTTTTTTTTAGCACCAGCTTAATGATGCAACTATGCACTATTGTCCAATAATTGACTGTTATATGTTCGTGATGTATATAAATACGATTGTACAGTATTAGAAAATGAAATCATCAAAAAAGATTTTCTTCACTGAATTATCTTTTCTTTTCTCTATTTTTCAATCGTTATCGAATTGTAACACTTTACAACAGTAAAAAATCATCTTCAAACGATAAATAATAAGTAGTATGTTTATGTGGATGTGTTTATTGTAATTCGAATGCTGAAAAGTGTTAATAGTCAATGTACTTCAAAATACTAACACTCTTGTGTATAAGTACATAACAATTCGAACCAAGATTTTGTTACAATCCAATACAGAAATTTGACGTTTAAGAGTAGTCTTCAACAATTATTTTAAGATTCTTATTAGATTATATAATCTATGAAAGCATACAACTGAGGAAGTCTACGTGAATATTTTAAGCGCTCCACCCAAATCCCTGTTAATTGGCTTACAGACTATAACCAACTTTCATCAAAGTTCATTTCGGATATCTATTGATAGTGATCACTACCGTTTATACTTCATTTATCCAATGTTTTCTCTTTTTTTTTGCTTTACCTTTATTCAAAGTTTTTTCCAATTTCTACATTCACCTTGTTCATTTTTACATGTAAATCTGCTAGTAAAAAAGTATCATTTTGACAATCTAAGATAGCCGTGGTTTCGTAGACCAGTATTAATACTAGGCGATGACTGAAGTTGGAATGAAAATTTGAACCGCGACCGGATTCGAACCAGCGATCACTTGGTTTGCGGTTTAAGATTCTACCTACTGAGCTACGAGTAGCAAAACGAATTGTTTGATTTGATGTTTTAAGTTCTATTTTGTTTTTCTAGTTTTCTTCACTGTTGAATGAATGTTTATCACATTCAATCTACCTAGTTTTTGGTTTTGACTCATTTCAATTTATCTAGTCTACAATGTGTTCAGTAGATTGAGGAGTTAGTTGTTCCAGTTTATTACCTTTCACACTTGTTATTTGAAGGCAACAAATATGATGTTTCTAACATGGATTGTTTATTTATATCTAATTACTAGATTAATTTTATATTGTCTAGTCTATCGTTTACGTTTGAGGCACTCATGTTTCAGTTCACCTAAACATGTAATCAATACTGTTTACTATTCATACAGTTTCAATAATTTTCAACATTGAGAAACTAAATCTTGAAGTATCTTGATTCTCAAGAGTATATTTACCAGTCGGTGTTGTTCTTTGCATCGACGCTACGGTCTTATCTTTAGTTGCATTTAGATAATCTTTAGGGTGGAATAATAGCTGTTTCCTGAAAATATAACCCCCTCTATTTTTATTTCGTGACTACTTGGTGTCAGTATTCTTACTAGCATTTAATCGCTGAAATCATTTCCAGAAATATGATTAATAAGTAAGTAAGTAAGTAAGTAAGTATTGCCAAATTTTACCTAGTTTATTTATGTTAACCTTGAAGTATTAAACAGTTTGTCTTGGTTTTCAAAACCAAAATCGTCAGCGTTTCTTCACAGCATACACAACTTAAGCAACGATCTCTCTCTCGTTCTTTAAGTCAACAGCGTTGTACAATTTAAAGAAAAGGTTGTTGAATTCAAGCTTTTTTGAGAACACAAGCAATGGAATACATCAAGTTTGAGGATAAGAGACAAGGCGAACGATGCAGTGCTAATAATAATATGATAATCTGGTTGGTTGTGGCTAGCAGAAGAATGGAGGACGCGCGTTTCGTCCTATTTGGGACTCGTCAGCAGGATGTACCTGCACCCCAGTGATGTTGTTCTCACTGCGACTCGAACTTCGTACCCATCGCTTCAAACACCAAGGTGTTATCCACTAGCCACAAAAAAACCAAATTATCATAATTAACATTCAGGCAATATAGAGGCATTCTCATAGAGCCTATATACCAACAGAGGTCGAACAATTCGATCCAACAAAAAAAAACAACGGAGAATAACAAGTATGCCAATAAATAATAATAATAGTTGCTTTATTCCAAACAATATTTGTGATACGTTATGGAATTCTGAGCAGGTAATATTTCAACAAATACACTTCCCTCACCATATTTTTTGAAGGAAATGATTATTGCATCTGAACAGAGTCAATAATAACAGTATTAAAAGCACTAAGGTGAAGCAGGTTGCTGGTGTTACATCAGCGTCTGGTTTGAACTCAGGAATGAGCACAAAATCAAGCGTAATTTTGATGGTGGTAATTCAATCAGCCAGTATAAAAATCTACAATTCTATTAAAATATCCTAAGAATAGTAATGCGCTGTACTTTTTAGGATTTATAAGTTCATTTCCATCCGGTGTAACGCTTTTTTCTTTGTTTTATTCTTAGAAACAATAGTTTGAAAGCATTTTAAAAATGTGCGAGAGTATATGCTACAGACAAACTTAATAGATTAAAACAAACAGTAAGGAAAGAATTTAATGAAAGATGTATTCAGTGGAAAAACATTTTGGTAGCTGGAGGCGACCTGCTTATTACAACTCTTCTCGTCGGTTATCAACAAATACTATTAGCTTTGAAAAGACTTTCAGTGTTAAGGTCATTGTGACCTATTGAGTAAACGAGCCAGTTTAATCACCAATATTTACTAAGTTTTATATGGCATAAAATTTTTGACTTTTCACCTTTTTGGATGTATTTTCATTAAGGATTGATATCAGGCAAATAATTCATGAAATTGAAGTGGAGGAATAAACCATAACTTAGTCGTCCAAGCACAGGATTCCATAATAATGAGCAACATAGACATCTGATGAAACAAAACCATCAAACGGTAAGCTAATCATTTTTTTTTCTCCTTCAAATTTAGCCATCACTTCTTCAGTGATCTGTTCTACATATAGCATATATCCATCCGGCTTTATAAAAGTTCATGATCATTTTTTGTGAAAGTAAAAAATTCCCAAAACAATGTTCACGTACTAACCATATACACGACTTTGATCCATTGAGTCTTTGAATATGGCCGTAGGTCATATATGGTAGAAACGTTGTTGCATGCTGCACGTACATCCAGCTGACGAAACGTGCGTCATAGATTTCACTGCTAGCCACTATCCATTATCAACATATATGTTAGTGGAAGTCTCCTAGTTAGATAAGTAAAAAGTTCAGTAGCAGTAAACAACAGTTGCTTCATGAACCCTCCCCCTCCACATCGAGAAGTTGTAAAATACTTGTGAACAAAAACTGCAGTACCTTCAAAAAATGCTTCTCATCTAAGAAGTTTAATAAAAGGGAGAAGAATAATAGTTGCACCATACGAACATGTTTATTTCAAGGATTCTCTACACCTGCTTGGTTTAATATTTGACATGATATCAATGCAGTAAAATCTTTCAAATTGATCAAACAATAAATCACATCTAATCTTTTGTATCAGTGATGGGTCGTGGCTAGCAGTGGAACCCAGGATGTGTATTTCGTCCTATTTGAAACTCGTCAGCTGGATGTACCCACCTCCTAAGAGTGAAGATGTTCCCACCAGGACTCGGACTCGGGAGCGACTGCTTCAAACGCCAGAGCGTCACTCACTACACCACCGAGTCACGATAGCTGCTTCTTGTGCGTCGGGTATAGTTTTAGTGTAATCGTTGTTTTATTTTTTATATCATACCGTCGTTGATTGGACCGAATTGATCGGTCTCTATTGGCATATGGGCTCCTGTGCGGATGCCTCGATATTGCCTGTGTTCTAATTATATATTATTGATGGGTCATGGAAAGGAGTGGAATCCAGGAGCCCATCTGCCAACAGAGACTGATCAATTCGATCCAATCAACGACGGTATGATACAAAAATTTTTTAAAAAACAATTATACTAACCTTTTGTAGTTCATCGAAATAGCTACAACATAGACCTGACGTTTGCGTTGAAAAAGATACTGTTGCCAACTTTCATTTACCTTGGTAATTTTATTCCTTTGAATGTCTTAATTACGAAAACATATTAATCTTTACGTGTTCTCTTTTTTCATTTCCTCTTCCTATCTAGTTCAAAAGTTACTATAACTTTCTTTCCTAATTTTGACAATGTAGCAAACTTGGACAGAGGAAACACAAAGAATATCAGAGGATTTTCAGAAGCTTGACATTCAAGTCAGTTAGTTAGTCAGCAATCAATAGATGTACAGACATAGACTCAATTTACCAATCAATAAGAAAAATGATGAACAAGAAAAAGTTCAGAGGTCAAGTAGATGAACATCCAACAAGAAAATCTATGCAGTCAATGATATAACAATCAAAGGAAACAACCAATCACAAGCCAGTTCGTCAGATCAAGCTACTGAATCACTCACGGAGAGATATTGACAGCTTGACTTCATATTAAAGTTAGTGCTGACGATGTTGTATAGAAGGACAATGAAAGCATCATAACTAAACCACCCAGCTCAGAAAACACAACACAACCGAGAGCATATATATATATATATATATGTATATATATATGATGACGAATACCGCGAAGTTGATTAATTCTTTATACATGTGATAGTTTTCGGGGTCCGAATGATTTCAAAGGAGCTTACATGACAGGTCGACATCAGTTGGAGAAATACTTTAAACCCGGAAGCACTGAACAGATGTTTGTTTCCGGTTTGAGAGACTGCTTAGTAGTGCATACCTAAAACCGCTTGAAGGATGAAGATCGGGACCACCAGATCTCATAATGAGCCAGTTAGCGTTCAGTCGGTTAGTTTGGATCCACTGATCTGATATTTCCTCTTTCTGTCCCAAACTAGGAAGAAACAACTATTCAGTGCTCCTACTTTTTCAATAGTTCAACTAATATTAATTCTTGAACAAACCTAATTTGAAACCAATCTATTGCTAAAAACTACCAATTGAATTACTATCAATTTCGCACTAGCAATCCGTCGAGTCAGCCAACTCCAGATTGAAAACAGCTAGTAATAGATGATACTGAATGGCGGTTACGCTACCTCGTGGATAGACTGAAGTAATAAAAGTTGACCACTGGATTCCAGTCCACTGGGTGAATAATAACGCACTCGTCACCAGCCCTGAAGATCCTGTGTTCGGTTTCTCACAGGGTAGTGAGTTGAACTGCCTCGATATTCAGGCAGAATGTCCATATCTTAACAGAAGTTGATCGTTTCGATCCAGTGAAACAACGGAAAATTACAAGTATACCAACATATTGTTAAAACTAATACCCGTTGTACAAGAGGTGGCTATCTTGCCCCAGTAGCCTAGTAGTTAACGCTATAGCGTTTGAAGCGGGGGTTACGGGGTTTCCAGTCTCAGTGGGAGCAACACCACTCACTGAGGCGCAGGTGCATCCGGCTGACGAGTCCCAAATAGGACGAAATGCACGACCTAGATTCCACTGCTAGCCACAACCAAGTCAGCTATAGTAGTAAGTATTCAGGTAATATCGAGGCATCCACATATGAACCCATTTGCCAACAGAGGTAGATCAATTCAATCTAGTATAACAATGGAGAATTGAAAGTATATCAACAACTAATAATAACTTTAGTAAATCTTTGAAAACTTTCATCTCACCAATCTCTTAACTTCTGAGGCTTTTTGTACTGATGCAGTAAATTGACTCGATGGTCTTGCTTTACTGTTTGTTCAATTGAAGGTTCATGGTATAGCACTGAACGTACCTATAAGTTAATCAAAACAACGAAAGTATACAGCATCAATTTTCAGTGTGGGAATAATAAATCGACAAAAATTTTCTGTTATATTGATAATGTCTGCAATAAATGGATGTGGTTAGCATTCATTTAACTGAGGAATAACAGCTTTATGCAATTTTATTATTATTATTAGTCTCTTGGGTTCCTAATGGAACATAGGGCTTCAGTAGTACGTCTCCATTACACTCTCTTCTCTGCAGTCTTTTCAACCTGGTTCCATGACTGCCAAGAAGCTTTCATTTCTCCTTCACATGATCTCCTCCATGTCACCCTGGGACCTTCAACTTGTCATTTCCCCTTTGGGTTCCACTTGAGAGCCTGGCGTGTGATGTCACCAAAAGGTCTTCTCAGGGTAGGCTTATGAAATTTTACTGCCTGTAAATTCTTATCTAGATGTCTAATCTCCATGGGTTTCGTCACCAGTTATGTTCTGCTATTCCATTGAATGATAAAATAATATTATTTTGACTGTGTAAGATAGTCTGCCATGGTTTGGCAGACTAATATTGATACTGTGAGATGGTTGAAGATGAAGTGAAAATTGGGACTGCGGCGGGATTTGAACTACCAAAACCCTTGATGACTGAAATGAAACAAAAATCTGTTCAGCAGTCGGACCTCGTAGCTCAATTGGTACAGTACCGAACCGGAAACCAGGTGGTCGCTCGTTCGAATCCGGCCGTGGTCCAAATTCTCACTTCACCTTCAATCATCACACAGTAACAAAATAGTAATCACGATAAAAGTTGGTAGATTTTCTGACATCTCAATTTCAGGTGACTGTTATTCATATGCATACAATCATTGGTTAAAAAATATCAAATTGTCGACTATCCAATGACCAATCACTTCACAGAATTCATTCCTACACGATACTAATTGTGGCCCGAAAAGCTCAATAGTAGCGTCACTGTCTGTAACACTAGGTGATGATGATGGTTCAAATTTCACAAAGTACATCGGTTTCATCGATTTTACAAATACGCTTTACTGACGGATGGCAACAGATACAAAACTTAGGTCAAGTAGGGTTTCCTGCCGGTTGTCTCTGACCAGTTAAGAAATATCAGAGTGCACTGTGATGAACAGTTTCCTAGCCTGATGGCTACATTTCAAAAAATCGACAGAAATTGACTAGCACTCATGACTAGATAACATGAAACTCGTTACTCTACAGCAGCTAATCAGTGTCACAATAAAAAGTGATTCAGCACATTCAGATCTATCTATAATGTACAACTTGTTAAGATAAACCGTCATAAACAGATAATATTTTTCTGAATTTTGCATAATAAGGGATTTCGCAGCTTCTTTGAGACGTACGTTATGGTCACGATTTCATCACTGACTTGTGTTGTGTGATATTTCCAATGAAGAAGTATTTGAACAACAAAACATACATCAAAGAACAGGCTAAACAAAAACCAACTGAGTAATATATATCAAAGTGAAGCTTGTTGGTTTTCACACTGCAAAATGATCGGTCGAATCCGGTCAACACTTACGACTAGGCAACATGAAATCGGTTACTTCAGTCGACTCAAATCTAGTCAAGGAGACTATCGATATTCTTCTGAAGAACGACCAAACCCTTTCTGACTCTATGAAGCTCAGGTTTCCAAACCTAATAGAATTGATCAGTCAACGTCTCAAGACCCATTTACAATTCAATTAGAAGATTTACAAACAAACAAAAGGGACACCTATGTGATCGCCACTATCAAGATTGATTGTTGAAGCTGTGAAACAGCGACTGGAATCAGTAGTCATCTCTGTCACGACACATTCGTAATTCTCATGGAAGAAGGAATTCACTTCACAAAGGAGGAGGAGTTCAACGACAAATTCCATTCTTAGATGTCCTCATCAGCAGAACAAACGACGGGACTTCAAAATATCAAGTGGACAGGAATGCTATACACAAACCAAATACTAAGCTACAACAGCAATCATCCTACATTTCATTAAAAATGTTGTGGACAAGCACTATCCTCTGGAAACAAAACACATATTGCACTGTAGCACTGCGGAAAGCCGTAGGAAAATACCTGTACAAAGTGTTCAGAGCAATGATTATCCACCCGACTTTATCAAAAGGTATTTATCAACAACAAAAAAGACAGGGCATTTGTTTCAAATCGATAGGTGCGTTACGTTACCCTACATTAAAGATATTTCAGAAACAGTCGACCAATTCCTTCATCCTTTCGGAATCATAATAGCATACAACCCAACGAAATTACTACGCAGCATGTTCTGCCAACCAACAGATCCATTACTAAAAGAAGAAAAAACAAATATAATCTACAGATCCAACTGCGAAAATTGTTCACAGTATTAAGCCAGCCGGTCTAGCCGTCAGATTGCGCAAAGAATTCATGAATACCAAAACTAGCAGTAAGGCATCATGATACTGTCTGCCTGGTTTTATTGCATGCAGACAATCACGACCACGAATTCGACTGGAAGAATTTGGGAATCCTCTAAAGAGTAGGTTCTAAAGCTGCAAGGGACTTTCTAGAAGGATGGCATTCAAACGAAACGCCAATCAACAGACATGTAGATATTGACCCAATCTACAACCTGCTTAGAAAGGAAACAGTAATCCATCAACCAAGGGAAAATTTGCCAGGTAAATCAATAACGATGCACAGTGTGACAGCAACAAACAGTACAATCGCACTCTAACAAGGAAGATCTAATGACGTGACGGAAGGGAAATTAAGGTCAAAGGGGTCAGGGTGTGGTCAAAATCTCTTTCTCAACTTGGAATTGAACAACAACCAATGTCAACAAAAACACTATCTAGACATCTATGTAAGAATTGAATATGCTTCACTTCTTTATAAAGCTGTAGTGCTGAAGGTGTCACCAAGAATGGTGATGAAAAGTCCAGGACAAAATATCAAAGCTCAGAGAACACTGAAATGAGTGACTGTATAGTAACCAACCAGTTTATCTAACTATGTTCTACAGACGGTGAATTGCTGCCCGAACAGCTCAGTAGTAAAGTCTCTGACTGCAAAATCTGGCGATGTAGGTTTGCACCTTACAGAGGATATCAGTTCCTTCAAAGCTCCAGGTACGCCTTACTGATGAGTTCCAATAATCAGGAAACCTTGGAGACAATTAGATGGAGTACACCTGTTGTATCTTTAATGTGTAAGTGTGACTTTTTTTCTACGCAGAAGCTTAGAACAAACTTCCACTTGAAATATGAGAATTATTTTGCCTTCAAACACTTAGATTTATATAAATATAACCTGAATCATATATATGTTTGTGAGTTATTTTCATAACCAACCTCTTCTAAATTTGTGTACTCAAGATAGCAGTCACATCAAAGGCTAGAATAACGATACCTAATTGATTAGATTATTCCCCGAAACTAATATTATTCCATGAGGGATTATTCTGATGTGTAGACTGTCGGTAAATGTCTTAGTGACATCATCATCATTGTCTTCCTGGATAATTTATGAGTTGGGCTGCCACTATTCAAAATACTAGAAAGTACATTTTGTTGATTTCGATTCAGTCACCATTGAACATTGAACTTCGAAAAACAGTCTCACTGATGTATTCACTTACGAAGTTACTTTTGATCTGTGAAAAAGTTTTGTTTTACATACTTCTTGTTCTACACTACTGAAAGGTTGATGAAAAATTCAGTATTTCATCACTATGCAATCTTTTTCTCGCTTGTCTGTATGACCAGTGTAGTTGTTCGACATGTGAAAATGTTTACCAATAGTAATTATGACGTAATATTCTTTGCTTTTTCAAAGGTCAAAATCCATAAAACATCTATTTTTCCTAAGTAGTAATGTTTGCCAAAACAATAAGTTCCCTCTATGAATTTCATGATTTAGTGCGACCTTCATCCAGTACCAACGTTGATTACCTGGGCGCACGCTCAACTTGGTTTACCCAACCGGTCATGGCTTCACATTAGAGCTTAGTGAAATCTCATATCTAAGCACTAAACAGCAATTCAGTTTGCAGGTTTGTGGAAATTTTACTGATCTCAAGTTGGTATCCATCAACGACACCAGCTTGACAGGCAGTGAGAACGTGGAAGTACCGAAACATCGTTTCGTCCCAGTATGCAACTCTTCAGAAGTACATACCCACAGTCTCGCCAGTGATGAAGCCTAGAATCATCAGTTCTCATGGGGAACACAGTGCCATTCGGCCACTTGGTCAGAATTCGATGGTTCAAATTCTCCTGCTTCTATTAATTGGTGATATAGGGCGAAACGTAGATTTCTAAATACTCAGAGCGGTTTCAGTCATTATTCAGTAGTTTATTCATTGTTTCTTGCACCTTTTTTGAACTGAATAAAAGTACATTTTGTTTCGAGAGAAATCATTCTTTCATCATGTCATTATGAGTGACCTTAGTATCTGTTCGCTTCTAACATCGAATGACGTGAAAATTTATCAACTGGTACAGCTTAGTTTGCAAGATTATACGTCAGGATTAGTAATATTTACCAGGTTACCTAAAAATCTTTAAATGAAGTTGGATGAGAGCTCGTAACCTACACCAGGTTAACTTCAGTTTACTCACCAATTATAAGTTTTGACATACAAATTTGTTAGTTACAAGTGTTCTATGACTGTAGACCACGCCAATTGATTACTACTTGTTGATATACTTATAATTCTTAGTTGTCATACTGGGTCAAATTGATCCATCTCTCTTAGCATATGGATTCTTATGCGGATTTCTCGATATCGCCTGAATATCTAATGTTATAAGTGACTTGGTTGTGGCTAGTAGTGGAATCCAGGATACACGTTTCGTCCTATTTGGGACCTGTCAGCTGGATGTACCGCCCAACTGATCAGGCAAACAGTTCAACCTTTCATGTATTTAAGATTCGTTCACCCATTAGCCGTTTCTGAAATAAGGACAAAATATTGAAAAAAACGCCCATTCATTCACTCACCTTATCCATTATTGTCACCTGACATTCATTCAATATTTTCAGTTGTTTTAAATGACAAATTATTGTTCCGAAATAATCATTTTGATCACCTATTGGATTGTGTTTTAAATTTAAATTCTGCAGATACATCAATGATCTGAGTGGACTTCAATAAGAAATTTAGAGAAAGAGAGTATATTAGAAATATGAGCTTACTTACTTCAATGCCTGTACATCCATAATTTGATTATAGCTTAGATTAAGCGTGTGAAGACGTTTCATATGTAGTAACCCATTGATTAAACTAATATCACACGCTTGTAAATTCAAATACTCAATTTTATTCGGTAAAAGACCAAATCCACCAGTATCGTTTGAATTTGTATTTCCCACAAATACATTGAATATTGTACCTTTATTATTATCATCTGTATTCATTGTATACATTTCATCAGATATAGTTTTTTGTATAATATACCATTCATTTGATGTCAGTTGAATACTTAAAGCATGAAATATACTTGGATTATAACTCAAGTTAAGTATGCGTAGATTAGGTATGCCTAAAAAAGTTGGACGTGTATTGTTGTAACAAAAATTTCTATTTTTTGAAAAAGTTAATAAACCATTGGCATTTTCGAAAGGATCAATTGCACCAAGTTGAATGTCATCATCATCTAAGCCAATTATGAAAGATGAAGTTAACTGACAGGAGGATAAATCAAGACATCGTAAACTTTTACACCCCCATAAACCTTTATTTTTAAGGAAAAAAAAAGCAGGTATGAACCAGAATCAGATTCTATACAACAACAAAAAAGTAAATATTATTTCATTATTATCTTAGATAACTGTGGTCCAAGAGATTAACAGTTATATAGCACGAAGGACCAGCAGAGTTGAAATTTTCAACCTCAGTTGAAGGAAGGGACTGCCGGTTCGAATCTCGTTGTTACCAAGGTATTCATACCAACTTCAGTTATTACCCTTATCCAATAAATGTCTTGTGCAATTGTTTTTATACTAGTTAAGATGTTTCATTGGTTAAAAGATGAAAATGCTCTTGTGACTCACTTGGAAAATAATGGCTCCACTGACCCGGAGATGATATTGGGTGATAGTCGGGCTATATGGTGAACTAAGAGAAGTTGGACCACTGGATTTCAGGTCAATGGCTCAATAGCAACGTGCTGGCCATGGGACCTGAAGGTCCCGGGCTCGACCCCTGATGGGGTCATGGATTCACACTGTTGAGGAGTCCCATAGTGGGACGAAACAGTTTTCCAGTGCTCTTAGAGTTTCAATGTTTCTCCAACTGAAGTCAGCCCATGATGAAGACCAACTTGAAACCCGGAGATAGCTAGTTCAAATCATGAAGCTGCTGATGTTTTCATTTCCTCCTTAATCAGCACACCGCATCAAAGTTACATATTTTGTTTATACAAGTACTTGATCATTGCAGTAGTCATTTTCAGTTGTTTAAAAAAACCTAAGCTTAGTTTTCTAAAGACGATACGGCGGCCTGCTTAAACCTTAGGCCACCAAAACTTTTCCACCGAATATTTTTCATCAAATTCTTCCCTTTAAGTTTGTCTCAATCTATTAAATAGATCTTCTAAAAGTATCATATACTCTTGCACATTTTTAAAATGTTTTCAAGCTGTCGTTTCTCAAAATAAGAATAAAATAAATGAAAAACTCTACGCAGAATGGAAATGGATGTATGGCACCTTACTATCTTTAGGATATCCATTATCGAATTGGAGATTTTTGTAATGGCTGATTGAACAACCATCATCAAAATGATGCTGCAACATTCAGCATGCAACATCGATTATATGTTCATCTCCAAGTCCAGACCAGATGTTTATTTACCATCAGTTGCCCGTCTCATATTAGTGCCTTAAATGCTGTCACTCAGGTACAATAAGTATTTCGTTTAAAAATATTGTACAGAGAATGAATTTATTGAAATATTACATGCTGAGAATTCCATACTGTAACATATATTGGAATAAAGTTATTATTATCATCATTATTACTATCATTATCATTATTATATTAATTCAAGCCATCAGTAATGAGTATTTAATGAATATTGAAACAGGAGTATCCTTTTTTGTGACCTTTGTGATAGAATGGGCTTAGCAAATGATCAGTATTGGGGTTGAAGTATGACTGAGAATTTCAACTAGTTGACCTAGGTAGAATGTGCATGTTAAGATTTGCTGTGATCAAGTATAGGGGATAGAGGCAGATCTATAGGATGGACCGTGTTTTATACTTAAGAGATGAAAAAGAAAAGAAATCCATGAGGTCGTCGAAGAATGATATGAATCGGCTAAGATACTATCCGAAACCTGGGAACGTTGGACAGCTGGAGGAGATCGTGTGAGGAAGAAATGAGAGCTTGTGGGCTGTCGTGGAACCATGTTCAAAAGATTGCGGAGAACAGAGTGGAATGGAGACGTTCTACTGAAGCCCTATGTTCCATTAGGAACCCAAAGGACAAATAATATAATATAATAATAATGGAACTCAGCAGCGCACACCTATGATCCCTCTAGGGATAGAAGCCAGGACCTTTAGGTGGCCAGCCCGTCACCAATGAGCCACTGAGTTAGAATCCAGTAGTCCACGATTTCCTACTTCTGTCTTTCCACGATATAGCGTGACCTCTATCGAATGGCATCGTTGAGTATCTGTCCTCATACCTTCGAGAGAAAAAATGAACAACTGGTTAAAAAAAGAGTCAAATTGTTCATTATAAAACCCATTAGTTGACATTCTGCTACTCTTTATTCTCCCCTTTTATTACAAATACCGTACCACATTACAGATGATGAGTGATTTCATTTCTTTTGTTGTTCATTTGCCAACTTAATATCGATATTATTGTAACCGGTGCAATCACAAGAGGTTATGTACCAGTGTGCTAGAACTCGAGATTTTCTAACTGGATAATATGCTCATGGATTTTGATAAACTTTTAGAAAACACTGTAAATTCATTTTTTCAGCGCCGAGAAATAGTTCATCCTAACTCAAACAGAATTCACCACCGAATGTTGTTTGTAATAGAATGATTTCGTGGAGACAATAAAGTCAGGAAATTCTTGAAAACATAAATATTCATTTGGAAGGTTTCAAAATTTCAATATACTTCTTTATACGTTGTCATGAATGGTTTGGTTGGAGAAATCTTCATTCTTAATGCTTCATAATGACGTCGTTTCCAGAATATGAATCAGATTTGTGGCATTCATCACGAACTACCATCACTTGGAGAACCATTGAAAACTTGAGAGTAGTGAAGAGGTGTTTCGTCTTTGTATGAGATTCCCTAGCAGTGTGAACCCAAGACTCTACCAGAGATCGAACCCAAGGTTGTCAGGTCTTACAGTGAGCAAGTTGCCACTCAGTAACTGCAATGGAACTCAACTGTCTACATTTTCCTACTTCTTTTAATGCATGATATACAGCGCGACCATTACTCAGTGTCATCAGGGAGTATTTGTCCTGATCTGGTTTACAACATGGATCACAGCTTCTCATTACAACTCGTAATGAATGCTATCTTAAAATCAATCAGTTGATCATCGTAAACCTTCAAATTGAAATTTTTAGTACTCATGAAAACATCTGGCAACAGCTAATAGCTTTGATGAATGATACACTTCTTGATCCACCACTTCAGCATTAAATCCAATTGTTCATCGGTTAGACATAATGTTTCGAATTTCTAGTCGTAACATGAGATTTCTGGTGCTAAGCAAATGTTTGATGATGAAAACAGAAAGTTAAAAAAAATTGGCAGATTTATTTATTAGCTAAATTCCGATGCAATCACTGTATTGTTATGTGAAGTGACCTAGTGAAAGTGACTGACAGAATGATACGAGAACGTTACTAACTGAATGAAATACTTGGACTGGATGCGAATACCAAGTATTCTCCTTCAGACCTGATACTTCATTGGGCCGGGACAATAAGAAGACTAAAATCGGCTCATGACTGTAAGGAAGACGACTTTACTTGATAAAAAAATGCATCATTTAACATTGAAAACTTCTACCTTCACGGCTGATGACTTCAAATGTTGATTTTCATTCAAGCCGCTTCCAATCGTTATGCATTCATTTTCAAGGTTCAGTAGTCATGAATATTTACGGTTAAACGATTTTTATAGTAGAATAGTATACACATGTATAAGTCTCTGATTTTTCATGGTTCCTTGAACAAATATCTAAATATTAATGTATTTAGTGGAAAAACGTTACTATATGCTAAGGAGTTGCTTTAATTTAAGAAACGATGGATACTTATTTAGTCATTAGTTCGTTATCACTCATGAAGCGCCTTCTGAAAAAATTTTTGAAAAGAAAACACTTGGACATCATGCCATTGTAGTTCGTATTATCATGTTTTAGGCATAGAACTGTTAATGCAGTACTCAGAAGTGTTCAACTTCGAAATCAGTACCCATGGCTTCAAAACTCAAGACATTATCCAATAGACGATTGAGTTAAGATAAGTACCTCTTACATAACGGTCATAATTTGTTATTGGGATTTCCCGTTAGTTATACATTTAACTTTGCGAAGAAAAGCTTTTTAAGAATCTAGAGTTAGCTGGTTATAGAATTTAGTATAAATCATCTGAATGTTCTCATATCTCACTTATTCATATTATAGATAATCTAACATACGATTACATGTAGTTACTGTGATCCTGACAACCAATAGAAAAAGGAGAAGAAATTTAAGATATTTCACTTACCTGAAATACTTCTCAATGGATTGTTAGATATATCCAATTTTTCTAGAAATTTCAGTTGATTCAACTCCGGTATTGCATTTATTTCATTTTTGGAACAATCTAAACTAATCAACTTTTTACAATTAATTATTGAAGTGATATTATTTAAACAATTATTTGATAAATTCAGAATCTCTAATTGATTGGTATAAGCTAAAATTGTAATATCACGCAGTTTATTTGATGATAAATTCAATGATGTTAAATGTGTCCAATTGATTTGATCAAGTGAATTAATCAGATTTGTTGAATTAGCTAAATCACATTCACAAAAGTGAAATGATTGATCATTTGAAGATTTTTGCAACTTTTTTAAGTAATATCTTTGTTCAGTCATAGTAAATATGTTATTCAAAATGATGAACGTGGGAAAGAGAGTTTGTTACAGTATAGAATAATTTGAGAATTCTTTCCCCTTTGGTTTAGACAACAGTAAACCTTAGCACTTCTAATATTTCTAAAAAACAAGAATATTTAACATTGAACTCCCAATATAAAATCAACAATGAGCTGTTAATCTGATTGTGTTGAAAATTAAGTCAGATTGAACATTGTAAAGTAGATGATCAGTTCAACTTACCAGTGTCGGAATAACACCTGTAAGATTAATATTAGATTACAAAATGAATAAATCTATACCACGTAACTTTGATTCCCTAGTCAGTTATTACTAGCATCTTGTGAATTAGTCTTGTGTCATTGTTGAGGTAGTGAAACTTAGTCGACTGAGATGTACTGTGCATGTAGAATCACCGCCTGACTCGTCCAGTCATCCTAGGGAAAGTTGGAAGAGAGTTCACGGTGGACAGACCAACACGTGGTACAAGTCGATGAAGACTCTTACTATTAGTGTGAGCCATACGGAGATATAGACTACGTGGCTGGGGTCCACAAGACGAAAGGAATCAGTGGTAAACGACTCTTGCTGACATGGGTGGAAATCAGTCGGTCACAATGGCGGAAATGTATTCACTCCTTGGCATTTTCTAAAGCTTGAATATTGGCACTAACCATTATCTCTAAATCGCTTATTTTCTCACACAACTTTGTCTACTTTGATATCAGTGCTTTTCTATCCACCTGTGTGTTGCTGTGCAGTGTGGCAATTTGGGCCGAAGGACTTGTGTGAGGTTCTGCGTCGATTTCGTCACTCAGTCAGCCTTATTTAAACACAGATCAAAATCAACTGACATTTCTTATATATAAATCCTAACTGGCTTATCGGTGTTGATGCATGCGAACTGATTATAGGATAATAACCAAAACGACCTATATTGCTTAGCACAAGTGAATTTCCGCTGGTCAAAATATGAAATTAGTTTGAATTGGATATTGTTTAGACACTCAGTCCAGAATATAATAGACGTCTCACTGTCCAATGTTGATGTCTTGAACTAGTCAAAATCTGTTAGTCAACTGAGCATCAAGACTGCATTGCAAGTGCCTTTCCGTCCTCTTCCAGTTAATTGTTGTTATGATTTTTCACTTCATACTCGGATTAGCGTTGATAATGTTGTCTCAAAGTACAGTGGAAGCTTCACGAATAAACGACCCAACTCAGAGAACATAACACCACCAAAACGGGACACACCTAAGCTACACGCACATAAGAACACAAGAAGTGACCAGAGAGGCAATAATAATTCATATGGAGTGATGGTTAGAAGTGAAATGCAAGCCTGGGTTGCGGCAGAATTTGAATTAGCTGCCTCAGGGTTACTAGCCTAGTGCTCTACTAATCAACTTAACTAGGTTTCAATTTCACTTCAATCACCGACGGCTTCACATAGCTCTCATTTGAATCTATGATATGTGACTCACCACTGAGAGTAGTTATACTGGCTGCCTAGACAAGTTTTATCATTGCAATTCACATCGAGCAGAATTCGAGGAAAGAAGCATTGTACTGATTATTAATGAGACTACCGGTCAAATTACGACTACCTCACATAGTAATACTTTTTTGTAGCTAATATTTAGAAAGCTTGAGTGTTGACAGTAGTTGACAGTAAGGTAGAATATCGGAGTATACCACACCTGTTCGCCTTCAGATTCACTTATGTGCGATTTATCTTATCTGAATTTTTACATATTTGTATTCATTCATCTGTTGGCTAACGTTAGTATGAAAATACAGTAACCTGTACTACTATATATCACATCTAAATCCTGTATGCTTCCAGTAATTTGGCCGTCGTATTTGACCTCAGAAGTCATGACATAGATTGTTTACGAGTTTAAATCCTTGCAGTCAATAAAGTCAAGACAGGGAAATTTCAACTGAACACATATGATTAGCTATACATGAAGAGGGTCGTCTCCTACCAGCGTTTACCACTGTTTCACACTCCATTTGTTTTTGAAGCCATTCAGGTACATGTTCTCCCACCCTCAACTGCTTGACTCGATTACTACTCACTATATATGTGTGACCACACATACATGTAAATTGGTAAACACAATGGGATGTGACATAATCATTGATGCAGTGTATAGGTTTTTGGTGAAGCATGTGTTTTATTTTTTCCACAATGATAAGATTTGTCGTGTAATATGTTTTCTTAATGACTGGTGTCAGCCTACGTCTCGAAATGATACTATTCAACTCCCCTTTGTATGGTAGAGTTATATGGACGCTTTTCTTATAAACCGTGTATAAATTTGGTTTAGGTGCTACTTCACCTCTACAAAAGTCTATAAACTTCATCGGATATCCATTTTTCATAAATGCTTTGGTCAGTAATTTGATATCTTTATCCATCGTATCTGGTGTACTGATACGATAGATCCTATTAAACAGGCATTTTATTAGACGTCGCTTGTATTGGATTGGACAAAAACTGCGAAAATTCAGGTATTGTCCTGTCCATGTAGGCTTTCTGTAAACTGACCATCTTATTGAACCAACCTTTAGACGACTCAGCAGTATATCTAGCAATGACAGTTGATTATTATTCTGGCTGGTGATCCCATCTCTAAAGTTCTTCTTTACAAGAGATATGTTGATGACATCATAGTGATTTGTGAGAGGCATGAGAACATGGCTTGTCTACTAAATAGATTTGACGTCGTACAAACTCACATCAGCCTGACTTGTGAGAAAGAGAATAATAATCAACTGTCATTGCTAGATATACTGCTGAGTCGTCTAAAGGTTGGTTCAATAAGATGGTCAGTTTACAGAAAGCCTACATGGACAGGACAATACCTGAATTTTCGCAGTTTTTGTCCAATCCAATACAAGCGACGTCTAATAAAATGCCTGTTTAATAGGATCTATCGTATCAGTACACCAGATACGATGGATAAAGATATCAAATTACTGACCAAAGCATTTATGGAAAATGGATATCCGATGAAGTTTATAGACTTTTGTAGAGGTGAAGTAGCACCTAAACCAAATTTATACACGGTTTATAAGAAAAGCGTCCATATCACTCTACAATACGATAATGCACATTGGTCATAGCACTTGTTTCCAGTATTCCGCTGATGGTACACCACTACTCCCAGTCTTTGAACTAAAAGACTTGGGTGTCATCATTAGTCATGATTTGAAAACCTCGGCAAGCTGTAATGCAGCTGCAGCAAACGGCTTCTGAGTATTATGGTCCATCTGTAGAGCTTTCAAAAGTTTTGGTCAGGACTTGTTCAGAATACTCTATTCTACTTATGTTAGACCTCGCTTGGAATTCTGCACTCAGGCTGCCAGTCCATGCCTAAAAAGGATGCTGACGCACTCAAGCGTGTTCAAAGGGTAGGTACTAAGCTTGTGGTAGGCCTTTCGAATCTGTCGTATGAGGAACGACTAGATCAGCTAAACTTATTCCCACTGTCTTGCCGTAGGAAATGGGGTGATCTCATACTGGCACTTCATATTCTCAATAATGACTTCGGTACTGATATGTCCTATCTTTCCCCCCCTTCCCTACTAGGACTGACTATCTCCGAGGGCATCATAAGACAATTCAAAAGCCGCGATCGAATCAACTTAGCGTGAATCTGCGTTCCTCCCATCGTGTTGTCAACGACTGGAACTCCTTATCTCATCAAGTAGTATCAGCACCTTATGTCAACGAGATCAAGGAGAAACTAGATCTTCACAGAGATATCTTCTGCAAGGATTAACACAGGCCAACTGGCCTACTATCCTTATAACTGAAAACTGAAGTCTAGTCAAAACCCCTCAAAAATGGTCACATGAAATTGTCACAGAAAACATTGTGGTACCTCGAGGTGCCAAACTGAGTGGTTTCCCGCAAAAAGTGATCAGAATGTTAAAGCTGGTTCCACCATTGCTGTGCAAGCCATAAATCTGCAGAACACAAAATGTATAATGATGCATAGAGTGACTAGCACTGCCTATGGTGATGATGAAGCTGAATCACTTACAAACACTATTACTAAGAACTTACTGTCCCGAAGAAAATCTGACGGTTGTCATAGTGGTAACAACACTGCATCCGTCGACAAACAGGTCGATGCGCAGAACCCTTAAAATTTCCAAACTAGACAGGAAGATGAGTGACAAGACAACGTACAAGATATGTTGACGGTGACTCAGAAAAGCCTGCTCAAAGCCAGATAAAGCCAGCATATTCCGGCTCTCACAACCCCATAAGTAGTAGTCTAAAGACTACCGATCAAACGACCAGGTCGGCTTCCGAAAAAAAACACGGAAGTGGCCCACTGTCAGTGTCAACTAAGAAGGCATACTAGCCGCAGATCCTACCAGACTATAACCGTCTGTATTTCCGGCGAGATATCCGACTATCTATCACAGGACGAGTATGCTGTGCTGCAGTTCGTTTTTTCCTGCCATACGGCTATGAGACATGGACGATAAAAGTAGAAGAAATAAAACGGTTGCTATTCCTAGACCATAACTATCTTTTTAGCATTGCTGACATCTGGCAGAATCATCACGTGAACAGTATTGGGGCCAAGCAAAGGGTTCTAGGCTAGACAGACAAGTCGGTCCCTGAGCTTGTGAATTCTCATTGACGAAGGTGGCTTGCACATGTGCTGAATATGCCGAAACACCGCCTAACTCAACTTGCAAAGCTAAGAGAAGTTGGATTGGGTTGAAAAAGGGTTCAGGGTGACCAGGCTAAGATGTCGCACTAGTCCACGAAATATCCGACTGCAGACCACCTGACTTGGATTCCCAAGATGGTAGCATTTAGTGATTGAGGACACTTGGTTACATGGTTTAAAATCGGTCACAATGGTACATATGTATTCAAACTTTGATGTGTGCTGAAGCTGGAATGCTATGACCAACCTTAATGTTTAAATTCCATTCTGTACACCTCTATCTACTTTGATACCAGTCTTTCCTACCCAATTCGTGTTTCTGTACTACTGTAAAGTGTGATGACTTGAACAGATTCACTTTTGCGTCAGGTTCTACGTCGATTTTGTCCTATCTTGTCCAGTGACACAATCAGTTAGTGCACAAAGTGGAGTGGAATTCCTTTCCGAGGCTATCGATGTCAATGCTAATAAACTACACCTTGATCAGCATTCTAAATCCAATTCGGAAAAATGGCAAGTACTCAAAACTATGTGACCCACCACACACAAAAGTGGGACATGATAAATCCTACGTTACCGAATGAAACGTAAGGGACAAGATGTTAATCTAGTCGCAGCATATTTTAGTACTGAATGTGAGACAGAAAACTTCCTCATGAATAAACTGACTTCTTGGATAGATAAATATGGGTACCTAGTTGTAGGAGACTTCAATGCACCACCAGCTAACTGGGACAGATGAAAAATAGAAGTATGACACAATTCGTGTGGTCATAGGTTAATGGAGACATCAATCTCCTTGGCTATTACACAGTGCATTAGAAGAGCAACGCGATACGATTATCAGCATGCCCTATCATTTCCGGACTTGATATTCTCTCACATAGATGATATAAGCTCCATCCAGCACCTCGTATCCCTTGGTAAAAGTGACCATTTTATGATTATCTTCAGACTCACAGCAGCCAGAACGGTACCCCATCTAAGCCCAATGTGTGGAGGGCGAATATGGCAGCTATCAACTCAGCAGTATCTCCAGAGGACTAAATAATTGGTCTAGAAGCCCCATTTATGACCAATTCAAATAGTTGTACGCTTACGCAACTCAACCATTCGTTGTATGGACCATCTCAAATGGACGAAAACAACTTCTCCGTCAACAAACCACGGAATTTGAAGTTTAATTTGACAGAACAAAAGTGTTGGAGCCTTATCACTAACCTTGCTACTCCCAAGGCGAAGGAACATTACGTTGTAGACCCGAATAAATGTACCACTGCTACCTACTGGTTTCAAATATACCTTGAAATGCATCTCACCCGGATTACAGTAGAACACATGAAGAGTCTATTTTTTATATGAAGTACTGTAGTGAAACGTCCCATGTTAGAGAAATGGAAACTAACCATTTAACTGAAAACGATAAGGACAAATTAGAAGCTATGGTTGGATATTTTGTCGATATTTTTACCCGGGAATCTCTAGTGGATACGAATTCAAAGGTAGGAGCATCGTCATCCTATAGAACAAACTCTGTGGACATTGTTCGCAATGATGCAGTGAGGACATTAAGTACTCTGGATCTAGAACAACCAACACAACCAGATGAGTTGTACCTAAGGCTGTTCAGCAAGCTGGCATCTGACGTAGCTGACTCACTGACTACTAAATTTAGACTGTCTCTCAATGAAGACACACTCCAATATGACTAGGATGACGCCATATTCACACCTATTTATGAGGCAGATTCTAGGCAGAATCCACCAAATTGCAGAGTGGTACTGTAGTAAGAATCTTAGAAAGAGTGGTCAATAAAGCCATTACGGCCGACCTAGAAACCAACAATCTATTGTTTCGTTTGCAATATGGCTTTTGCAGAGGTTTTTCACGCTTGAGAAACCTTTTCGCTTTCAGAGAAAGTTGGGTTAAGTTTAAGGACAATAAGATACCTGCAAATATTATTTTTGCAGGATTTAGTAAGACGTTTCACCGGGTACCTCATTCCAGGTCGTTTGTCAAACTGACAGGTTTCGAGACTTATGTCGATCTACCTGCGTGGATCGGAAGGTTCCTTGGTGGTAAGAGACAAAGGGTAGGGGTCAGTTACTAAATCTCTTCTTGGAAGTCTATATAGAGTTGACTTCAGCAAACACGCACGGTCTTGAGTCTCCTGATATTTCCCTTGTGCAAAAGTGAACACTCAACTATCACGAAATCTCCCATGACTATCTGCCTTGACGATGTGAAACTTTGACTAGCAATTAGATAAGACGATATTGTACGCAAATTTCAGAGAAACCTAGACAGATTGTCAATCTGGTCAGCGAAAAGACTGCTGTCTATCAAAAAAAGCAAGGGCGTAACCAGGCACATGGTGCATGCATATGGCAGCACCTATGATATTGGTAAGATTTCTATAACCTAAAATTACCTGGCATTCGTAGTTATTTGTGATTTGAAGCATAGCTCGGAGTTTTGGGTCACTTTGAGCACTATGTAGTACTTTTACTAGGAACTGTGGCGATGGATTCACCAAATTATATGCATCTTTGGCTAGATTTAAACTATAAACCTGCGCGAAAGTGACTAATTCTTGTCTGAAAGAGTTACGAAGATGCCCACTCGTATGATTCTTCTGGTAGCAAATCTGATCTACAAAAAAAAGACTTCAGGAGCTGAACCTCTTGTCTTTATCATATCACGAATAGTGAGGGGATCTAAGCACGTCATACAAGATTTCAAGAAATATATATATATATATATATATATATATATATATATATATATATATATATATATCCCGGCCGGCAAATACTTTGGGCCCACTTTGAAACTTTAGGGTAAAAAACGGCACTGAAACTTCGGGATAACTGCTGACAATGCACCGTTGCGCCCGAAAATGTCCAAAAGTTTTGCCAAAAAATTGCAAATTTGTCAAACTGAGCCCAAAGTTTTGCCCGAAAATCCCAAAAGTTCCAAATACGTCAAAACGTCTGCAGTACGGCCGAGTTTTTAAAAATTGGGCATTATAAGAGGTAACAAGTAGTTTACGGAAATCCATTTGGTCTATGTGTATCCTTTGGAGCAGTATACGCGATGTGCAACCGTTTATTTAATTACAGAGTACTGTCATCTTTCTAAATTTGAATTTTCGGGATAGGAGCCTAAAATTTCCAAGCTGTGCCCGAAGTTGGCTTCGGGATTTACCCAAAAATGTCAAACTGCACCCAAAGTCTCTCGATAGTAGCTGCTTTATATATAGCTATCTACCTATGAACGACTTTTTTCCGCTGTACGGTTGTTATGAAAAAGAATTTCGACTTCCAATGTACCAAGCACAAATAGTTACTGAGTTGAGACAGTGAAACATTTATTTAAAATCCAATTTTCTTCGCAACGTACATTTTCAGTCAAAAGTGTGATAGGTTGCATCGTCGTAGCAACTGACCTTGAAGAGCAGAATCCAATATCCTTTTACGTGCTAGTGTGAGCCAATTGCTTTCTTCGCACTAGCTTCTGGATCTTAACGAACGGTTTCAGATATTTGATGGGTTCCACTGCAATAAATCTAACCACTCACCTGCTACAGCTTTGGTTAGCCTGACGGGTGGTTTGGTGTTGATTAAATTTTTGTGGATTCCATAATTTACCCAAGGACTGTGGTGCTGATGGGTTCCTCAAATTTAGCATCACTAAACGGTTGTTTGAACTGGTCCTCAGAAAGAGATAAAAAGGGATAAAAAGATGTCCGGAAAACACGGAAGAGAAATTGCGAAAATGCAAGGTCAAAGGAATCAGAACGAAAGGGAAAAAGAATCCTAGGTAGATTCAGGATGGATGACCCTTATGACAAGAACCTCAGTAAACAGGGCGAGGTCACAGATTCAGAGGGGGAAGAAGAAGCAGGCAAGATTACGGGAAGAATTATAAGAATTGAAAGGGTTACGTCGCTGACGAGGGTATGTTAACTAGATGCGAGACGTGTGACAGGCGTGAATGGGGTGAAGTCAAGTTCGTGATTAAAGTGGAAGTAAAAACAGATTCAGCACAGGCTTGGCTGTAGTGGATTGTGCACAATTAGCCGGTCCTACTGACCTGGTCCATATCCCAGCTGGGTGAGCTCAAACCATGTGTCGCCACATGGCTATCCAGCCTCTTTTTGAAGCTGTTAACAAACGGAGCCGTAGCAATCATGGCAAGCAATGCATTTCAGCGACCGCAAACTCGCAGAGAGAAAAAGCGTAAAATGCACACGGGTTTTCGCCCCCTGGTGGACGATTCTCTTCAAGTTGCCACGAGGGTTACCACGGTAGCCGTTCAGTAGGGTTCCACCGTTCGGGCGACTTGGATTATTTAGCATTCTGTGGGCCGTTTTGAAGTCACCACTTAACTCACAGTACCTAAGAGGGTAAGGCCTTGGGCCCTTCGCCCTATCCTCATAGGCTTTTCGCCCGATTCCCACTACACTTTTTGCTGCTCCCCCCTGGGCATTCTCTGAGGGGCTCACATCTCTTTTCAAACATGGTGTGTGCTGACGTTATGGACCAATAAGTGAGGTCGTATAAAGGTCTTGTGGAGCTTCTGAAAGAGTCCCAGTTGTCCTCGCATGAAGTGCAGTACTGCATAGGCTCTGGGGGCATCTACCGGGTAACTGGAGCAGGTGTCTAGCCTGTTAGTCGGCATTAGTCCCAGGTCTTAATTCGTGATCGCCTAGGAAATTTGCGTACCAAAGAGACAGAAAGACGATTGGGTGCCCGATGCAAGTCAGAAGTGAGGAGATACACGGTCCTGCCTTTATTCAGGTTAAATGCCAATCCGCTGTTATACAACCCCCTGTTTTTCATCGGAAACCCACGAGTTAAAGTGCAGTAGGGCCACATTTTCTGTCGAAAAGCAAAAGGCATGATCTGAAAAACGGAAAGTCGCTTTTTTGGATCATTTGAAAGGCGTTTTCGGTGCAATTGCACATGCTACAGCCCGTCTTATTCTGGTGATGGTACGCATTTTCAAGCTAACGTAAATCAGGAGCCAAATGGACACCACAAGTTTCGGTAAATAAACCCTTTTCACGCGCTGAAACGCTTAACTTTGAAACTGTACAGCGGGTCACACTGCTTCAGCCTTTTATACGGAAACTTCACATTTCTGGCAAAAGTTTGGGACTGTGACCTGTAATCTAGGTAAGTAAATTTTTTATGGACCACAATCTTTTGTAATGCCAAGTCTCATTAGAGTTCTGGTGAACAGAACTATATCATCAGAAATGCAGTCGCGATTTTGTGCTCGGTTGGATTATTTGTTTGACGTATTTGCAAGTTTCAAAAGTAAATAAAAATGCCAATTTAAGCTGTACAGTGAACAAAACAGCCGCTGATCACGAGTCATTTACACTCAGTTCTTCTGTGATTAACCCTTGACTGATCTGCAAGACTTCGAGATCATTTTGTCGAATCTTCGTTGAAGTTATTTACTTACAATACATAATTATCTACAAAAGAGGTTTAGGAGAAAAATCACTGAAAGGTATCACTGTTACCGTCTGATTGACAGGTTTCCGTCCGGTTTATATGCCGGTTGTGAACAAACTAAGCCTACTAGTCGAGAACATTCAGGACTCTATTCCCTCTTTCTGCGGAAGAATCCCACATGTTGGCCATCAGGTACTTCTTTGATGATAATATACATTTTTGGAAGTCATAGTTACTGAACGTGTTCAAATAATTTGGGATCCCAAGGGTGTAGCCAGAGTTACATGAGTGCTTGCACATTCTGCGTTGTAATACTGAAGCAAGAACTCATTCATCCACTCCTGGTCCATCTGGGCCGCTTAGATTAATTGGCGTTACAACACTGACTTCAGTAATAACTTATCTGTCAACCTGTTCTACTGATCATGACGTGTAGATTTGCGAGTAAGGGAGGAATCAATATCTTTAAGCCAACTGCTGAGGTGCTTTCCATCGAAATGATTCGCATGATGAATCTCCTTTAGATGTTATGGGCTCTATATCGCAAGTGTGAACAATAAATGAGTGAAACTTGCTTGGACCTGACGAGTCCGGGTTGGTGAAAGAGATGGAGAACTCATTTCATCCAAGCAGTTAGACGGAACATCCGAAGACTTAACAGTCAAATTGTTTGATCTGATGCAAGCAATCAGCACATTTATGACAGTTCCTATCCAGAAAGTTGCAAGCGATTCTCAACTGTACTTTTCCACACAAGCACTCCGATTTGATATCTTTCAATTTTGGGATTTGACGTGGAATTGTGTATGGAATTCTCCATATGAATTTGAACATATGCTGATGGCTGCTTGAAGCTCCTATGATTGGCACTGGTACTTACTACCCTATAAGCCGGACTGACTTAAGCTTCCTCTGTTGGCTACTTCCTAGATGATGTATCAGTTTCCAATGACCTGAGAGGGCAAGAATGCATCTGGACCAACTCACTCAATAGCCTCAGGATGTTAGTACCAGCTATTAGACTATAGCGTAACCGAGCGTAAAGATGACGACAAAGCTTATATTTTGACACTTGTGCTTGAAGCTGAAGAGAGAAACCTCAAATATTTCGATGAAAAACGTTGACCACTTCATTGACGTGAGCTCTTCCAATTTAGTTCGAAAGAAGTTATATTCGCGGTGGTACGTCTGAAATTGTGTAACATTTTAACGTGATTTCGTAACTGTGTTATAACTTTGTTATTAGCGTCATCATAAAGCCACTGAATTCTCAAATGACTAATCACATATCAAACATTCAACTAGATATGGCTAATACACGTAAAAAGGCACGGACACGACTGTCTACGAAACAGTGCATCAACAATACCCAAATGTCGGTGACACCAAGAGCAGATTCCTCTTGCGACAGCATACGTGAGTCAGCTTATACTCCAGTTGTGCTCAAGAGAAGAAGAACTGCGTTCGATAAAACAGCCAACGTCAATGATAACAGAAATATCTCTGCATGCCCAACATGTAATAAGACCGCAACACTAAATGTTGCAGAGGACGTAAAGCTTAATAGAAGCTCCACATCTTTTTTGAGACTAACCAGACTTCAGCCACCAAGTGTGTCATTGTCACTTCTTCCAGAAATCGAAGGCCTGAAGTCCTCCATAGAGGAACTAAGTGCAGAAATACGCGGACTGAAGGGTGGCAAACAGAATAATGCACCACAAGAAAGTATGTTAAGGGCGTTCGAGGTGTCACCCCAGCTGGATGAAATTAGAGCTCAGATTAGCAACCTCTTGCCACTGAGCATCTTGACGCGTAGTGAATCCATTAATGAAGTTGATACCGAAAAACTATCCAAGGCAGATCACCTGGTAAATTTTATCACCGCTGAAGTGAGTGAGAGACCTGCGCTTAAATTGAACGCAACAGTTTACAACGTCCCTGACACGACAAAGTTGAAGGCGGTGCGAGAAATTTTGCTTAGAACTGCAAAAATGCGTGATGTCGAAGCAAAATGTTTCTGACCAAAGAAAAGCCAGCAGGGCCACTGCTGTCCGATACGCTTTCAATTTAAATCACGGATAGAAGCGGAAGCATTCATCAAAGCAGAATCTATCTTTGCAAAAAAACACTGTCTCCACAGGAATAAAGATAGTTCTTGATAGGACAGTGGTGGGGAGGCAGGTATACAACTTCGCTCATAGACCTGACAGTCAAAAGTCTACAAAGCTGCAACATACTAAAGCGGTTGGTATCTCCCCCAATATACCTAAGCCTAAGACTTCTCCTTCCACGAACTTTATCAAGTCAAATATACGAGAAAACACACCAACCAAGGTGGAGACGGAAGACTGCGAAATGCATGATTTTACTCAACCACCTGAAACTGTAGATCTAGACGTATCCATAGAAAGCCCCAAAGTGAAACCTGACACAGCACTAAACGTGACAGAACTCTCGCTAAGGTCTGCTGCAGGCCAAAAGTCCACCAACCACACCAGCCTAGGTCCTAAGATACGGCCACTCAATATGCAACAGATAAACCAATGCTCCCATGGAACCAGACACGTAGAGACGGACGCAGAAAGCATATAATGATCCGAAGTGATCCTGCAATCCCTTCCGGAATTGACAGAAGTACAAACACTAGCCCTATCAATGAGGTTCTATGCACTGAGCTAAGTCTCCCTAGCAACGAGAACAAAAATAGACGTCACAACAACCCAACCCCATCGTTTACTAATGAGAAAAGCCAACATCAAACCACCTATAATAGAATGTCAGCGAGGTACTTTGTGAGGAAAACTTTGGTCGGCTGCATGTCACTAGTTTACTAGGAGCCAGCTCCCGATCCAACATAACGCCAGTTATCTCCGTTGTAAATTGTACCAGAAGGTAGTCACTGGTAAGGAATACAACGCAGAACAGAATTTTATATGGACCACAAAAACACGATGACTTTTTATCCATTATGTC